ATGATTGCTTCGTAAAGAGGTGAGTCATGTCTTCCCCTGTTAGATTATAATCTCCTTAAGGGCAGAGAGAGCATCTGCCACAAGAGGTACTCAACAAATGGTTATTAATTTACACATATATTCACCTTCACATACACACATCCCTTCTAGCTAAAAGGAAGTATGTGTTTTATAAGCAGCCAAAATTGTGCCAAATGAGAGAAAATCCCAAACAACCCAAGTCATGTCAAGAAGGAATATTCTTCTAGGACGTTCAGTCCAAACAGGGTTCTTCTGTTCCCATAATGGGATGAACAGGAGCCTCCGAGTCTCTTGCCCAAGATCTACATACACACATACCTCCTTCCCCTCAGAATATGGATTCCAAATTATGAGAAATATATGGTAGACATTTGTTATTCCCCTTGCTTAATTTACTCACTGAGAGAAAGGTGCTTTGGAAGACAACATGATGTAATGAAAATGAAATAGGAGACCTGGGTTTCACTAGTAGTAATGTCAAAGGGCAGATAGGTAGTACAGTGGATAAAGTGCCTAACCTAGGGTAAGGAAGACCCACCTTCCTAAGGTCAAATCTGGCCTCAGACACTTACTAGCTGTGTGACCCTAAACAAGTCACTTAACCATGTTTGCCTTGGTTTCCTCATCTGTAAAATGAGCTGGAGAGGGAAATGGCAAACCACTGTAGTATCTTTGCTAAGAAAACCCCAAAGAGTCAGACATGCCTGAATAGCAGCAACAACAAATGCCATGAATTCTTCCTGACTTCAGAAAAGTCTGGCTTGCAGTTTCCTCATCCATCAAATGGAGATGACACCACCTGCTCCTATCTACTTTGTTGGTAGTTATTGTCGGTTAGCAAATGAGATTATGTTGGGAGAGAGGGTTTTGAACAACATAAAGCACTATACAAATGCAAAGAATAGTTATTATTAACCCTTTCAGGCCTTTCATGAAATGGAACTCAATGCATTAAAATGGGTCTCAAATTAAAGAAGCTCTTCTAGGATTCAATCACAATCTGTCATAACAAAGGTTTTAAAGAACTTTGGCTAAACCTCTGATGTACCATCACTGTATAATGTCCCTTCTAGCTCTAAAAGTCTATGATTGTGTCAATCAATAAATCAATATTTATTGAGCACCTACTATGTACCAGGCACTGTGTGTTTTTTCTTATTTATTTTTATCTTTATCCTTTTATCTTGTTTAACTGAAAAGAGAAATAATCCCTGCCCTCAAAAAGCTTATAATCTATCAAAGGGAAATACAAATAAAGATAAAGATAAGAAAAAGATACATGATAATTTTGAGGAAAATGTACCAGTAGCTTTTGAAAAAAAAAAAAGAATCAGAAAGGCTTCATTCATGTAAAAGTTGATAAAGGAGCAGAGCCTTGGAGAACACTAGAGAATCTGAAGGGCAGATGTCAGGAGGAATTACATTGCAGACATAGGGAACAACCATTGTAAGGCACTGAGATGGGAGATGGAGGGCTTGAATAAGGAAAAGTAAGGATACCTCAAAATACTGAAAAGGGGAGTAATAAGTGATAAGACTGGAAAGGTAAGATGAGGCCAGGTTGTGAAGGGCTTTAAATGCCAAACAGAGAAGTTTTTGTTTGATCCTAAAGAAAATAGGAAGCCATTAGAGTAATGAATAAGAGAGTAACATGTTTGGTCCTGAGGTTGAGGAAACTTACTCAAAGCTGTGTGGAAGATGGACTGGACTGGAGTGGGGAGAGACTAGTCAAGAAGCTATCCTAAATTTCCAGATAAATGGTGATAGGAGCCTGAAGTAGAGTGGTAGCAATGTGAGTGGAGAAAAGGGAACAAAAATGAAAGACGTTATGGATGGAGTAACAAGATTTGGCAACTGATTCATGTGGGATGAATGAGAGTGAGTGAGGAGTCCAGGAAGAGACTGAGAGTTTGAACCTTGGTAACCCAAAGAATGGTGGTACCCTTAAAAGGGCATTTCATAAGAGAAATAGATTTGGGGGGAAAGTTAATTTGTTCCATTTTGGATATGTTAAGTTTGAAATGTCTTATAGGACATTCAATTCAAAATGTTGAGTAGTTCATAATAGAGGACTGGCACTCAGGAGAGAGACTACAACTAAATGTTTAGATCTGAGAGTCATCAGTATAGAGACAATTAAACCTATGTGGGTACATCACTCATCCTTTATGGGCCTCAGTTTCTTTATCTATAAAGTGAGGGACTTGTTTAGTGACAAAGTTATCAAGATAGAAAATATGGAGAGAGAAAAGGAGAGGGCATAGGACTGAGGCCTTCAGCACACCCATGTTTAGGAGGTGGGATATGGATGGTAATCTAACAAAGGAGACATAACAGAAAGGTAGAGATTCAAGAGAAAACCATATCACACAAATCCAGAGAGGAGAGGGTATCCAAGAGCAGAAGGTCAACAGAGTCAAAATGCTGTAGAGAGAGCTCAAGAAAGCTGGGAATTAAGAAAAGGCAATTAGACTTGGCAGTTAAGAGATCACTGATAACTTTAGAGTAAGCAGTTTTAGTTGATCGATGAGGACCATAGCAATATGGCAAAGAGTTGAAAAGTGAAGAGGAACTGAACCAACCAATGAAGGCAGCATTTTCTGGGAGTCTGGCTCAGAATGATTACTTGAAGATAGAATCTAGAGAAGATTTCTTAAGGGGGGGGGGAAGACTTGGCATATTTTTAAGCATCAGGGAAGGAACTAGTATATAGGGAGAGAGTGAAAGTAAGAGATAGGAATAATTGTGGGGGTAGTTTGCTGGGTAACATAGGAGGGAATAAAATCAAAGGCACATGTAGAGGGCTGGTCTTGGCAAAGAAAGGAACCATCTCATGATCAGAGACTCGAGGAAAGAAACAGAGAGTAGGGTTCCACGTCAAAAGGATGAAGAGGGAGCTCAGTGAAAGGGCTCTGTTTTCTTAGAAGAGTAGAAGAGGTCCTCAGCTGTGAGGTGAGGTGTACATAAGAGACTTGAGGAGAGAAAAGATATTAGGAAGCAACTATTATGGAAAGTGAAATAAAAAATCAATTAGGGAGCAGTAAAAGGATTGCCTTGCTGTAGTGAGGGCCCAGTTGATATTAGATAATTTTCAATGGACTGAATCAGTACAGTTTCAAGACTCCCTCCAACACTATTCAGCAGTAAACAAGGAGAATCAGAGGAGGCAGATGGCAGTTTGGGTTTGGCAAAGTGTGAAGCCAGGATAAGACAGATGGAAATCAATTCAATAGTAGAGGGAAATGTAGATTTAAACTGGTTAACTAAAGAACAGAGATGGGGAAGAGAAGAAAGTCAAGCCAGAGCAGAAATGATGGCCTGGGAAAGTACTCAAAAGTTGAGGGATCCTTCTGATGATCAGGCAAGAGGATAATATGCCCATTTTATTAAGGGAAAAATAAGTCACCAGGAAAGGAAGTAACTTGCTGTCTAATCCCAAAAGAAGCTGAAGTCAGTAAACATATCACTATCATTCAGGAGTGCTAGTTGCACTGTGTTCTGACTGATTAACTCACATCTTACAAGAAGAGAGGATGGAAACACAGATGGAGGCTAGAGGCACAGAGGAGGATGAGGCTTATCCAAGGTCCCACAGCAAGTCAGAAATAGAACTGGAAATAGAAGCCAAGAATCTCTGATTCCAACTGCCTCAAGCTAACCGTTAAACAATATTATGTTCCAAAGGTAGCCCTGATTCTCTGCGGGGCATTTATTTGTTATGCCTGCTTCCTCCTTGGAGCCCCAGGTACTCCAGGGACAGAAATAGGGGAATCCTTACATTCCCTCTCTAAGGCAGGCAGGTACAAGTTAAGGAAAGTAAATTTCTTCTGATATAAACTGAAAACTAAACAGAAAACCTCATACTAATCCTGATGTGGGGACTGGACTTAGAAGAATTCTAAGACCCTGTCTTCACTCTCAGGCTCTGGAACTCATTTTTCAGAGACTTATTCCCAGGTTAGACTTTCACAAAATCATAGACTGCCATACCTTAGGGACTGTCATCAGACCGCCTCATTTAACAGTTGAGAAAACTGAGCCCAAGAAAAAGGAAATAAATTGTCAGAGGTCACCTAGCCAGTTTGCAGAACAGCCAGGATAAGAACCCAGGTTTGTTAACACATTCACCATTATGCTATATTCCCTGAACACCTTGATTCCATTAAAAAAATAAGATCATATATGGAAAATACTTTGTAAAATTTAAAGCAATATATGAATTCCAGATATTATTACCATTTAGGTAGTGTATCACAATGATAGGGTCTCTGCCTCCAACTCAGGAAGACCTGGGTTCAAGTCCCACTTCTGGCATGTATTGGCTATAAGATCTTGAATAAGTCACTTAATTTCTCAGTTCTTTAGAGACTCTTTAAGACTTTAAGTTACAAAGAAAATACTGACCTGCATTCATAGAGGGAGTTTTCTTGCCTGGGCATTCCCAATACTAATTAAATCACAAGTTCAGTCCATATACTTACCTTTATTATCATTAATATAGAGAAGTAGATAATGAATTCCATTATTTCTTAAATAATGGGGAAAAAAAGAGGAAGATAGGAAGGGGCAATCATATTGTTCTCCACTTCTCAATAGCAGAGAAATTCTTTTTTTCTTAAAGAATGTTTTTATTTTTTTCAATTGCATGCAAAAACAATTTTTAACATGAGTTTGTTTTTAAAATTTTTGAGTTCCAAATTCCCTCCCTCCCTACCCTCCCCCCTCCTTCAGAAGGCGACCACTTTGATATAGGTTATACATGTGCAGTCATGCAAAACATATTTCCATATTAGCCATGTTGCAAAAGAGAACACAAACAAAAAAAGAAACAAAGAAAAATATATAATAAAAATAAAGAAAGAAACATAGTAAGCTTCGATCTGCATTCAGACTCCATCAGTTCTTTCTCTGGAGGTGGATAGCATTTTTCATCATAAATCCTTCAGAACTGTCTTGGATCTTCGTATTGCTGAGAATAGATAAATCATCCACAGTTGATCATCATACAATACTACTATCACTGTATACAACGATTTCCTAGCTCTGCTCAGTTCACTTTGCATCAGCTCATGTAAGTCTTCCCAGGTTTTTCATAGCAGAGAAATTCTACAACATATTTCTTTAGTGGAGGGGCCTAATGCCTGGCTCACAGAAGGCACTTAATAAATGCCTGTTGAACTGAATTGTGAACAGATATAGGTTATCAAGGGAGATTATACAATGCCATGTAAATCCCCACTCTACTCCCTACTGCTTGTGTGACTCTGGGCAAGTCACATAACCTCTTTGGGCCCTAGTTTTCTCATCTGTAAAATTAGAAGGTTGGCCTAGCTGCCCTCCAAAGTCCCTTCAAGCTCTACATCTATGATCCTACAATCATTGGGAATTCTGAGATTTTAGATAACACTCATTTACAACAGTGGTAGGTAGCCACAAAGATTTTTGTTTCCTGTTTCTTCAAGGATGATGCTCCCACTCCTAAGAATCAATGACATCCAAGGAAATGGATATGACTCTGTAGATAGAAGAGGAATTTTTTTAAGCCTACTACCCCAAAAGGCCTCTACGCATCCTTAGTATAATTTTTAATGCAAATTTTATTACCAAAAACCAATGTAGCAACCCAATGTAGTAATTGCTAGAGGGGAATACAAGAGTGAGGAGAAACCAAAAATCAGAAAACAGTCCTCCCTACAACTACCCCCAAACATACCCAGCATGAGTCAAATATTAATTAGCCAAGTCTTCTACTTTATTCACCTATTTGAGGGCCTCATTCATGTTTATTATAACAAACCCTGCAGGAGATATCTGACGTAACAACAATCAGTTAAAGAAAACCAAAAATTACAGGAGGAAAAATAAATCCAGCAGACTGCAATTTTAGCTTTTTTTTTTTTTGCAGTCCATTATAGTTTTCAAAGTTATTTGCAAGGGTCTGATATGGAGAAGAGAGGGGAGTGGGCAGTAGAAAGGGACAACTACCACTTATTTATCTGGCTTACAGGATCTTGATGCTATAAGCATTTGTACTTTTTAAAAAATAAAACCAAAACCTGATCTCTGCAAATAAAGTGGCAGACAGAAATTTTGTTTTGCAAATGGTATATGAATCCTAGGCTCTGAAAATGGAGATGTCTTACCCCACAAAGCTACAGGTAGCAATGCCATGGGAAGGGGAGAGATCTGCCAATTTTCGATCAATTAATCAATCAAAAAGCATTTATTAAGCACTTGCAAGTAGAAATACTTCAGGTCATACAAGGTTTTCCTTCCCAAGGGCCCTCAAGCACTTCCCATTCATTATGTCTCACTGATTCTGACAAACCACTTTCGTGTGTATATGTGTATGCATGCACATGTGCATGAGTACACACTCACACAACTTTAAATTATCAGTCTAAGGAAGGAAACAGTTATTATTGTCCCCATTTATCAGAAAAACTGAGACAAAGCAAGGGCCTGAGGCTGGGCCAGGATTAAAAATCATATCCCCCATTCCCAGTTCCACATTCATTCTTAGCCAATTCTATTTCTGATAGTCAAATATTGCTGTTGACTGTCTGCAGAAACCATCAACTGACCAAACTAGACACTTCCCTCTTTCTAGGACCTTTCCTCCCAGAACCAGGAGTCTCAACAGCACCGAAATGCTGGGATATTTTCTTCAAATGCCTTTTCCACTTACCTATCAGTATATCTTAAGCAGAAAAAGCAGATGGACAGTGAATTGGACCCAGAATTGAAGAGGAGGAGGAGAATGGGCTGGGCTAGATTGCATTTGGGAAAATGCACTGGGCTTTTAACAACTCAAAGCTTCTCCCTAAATCAAAGACGTGTCTTTTCAACACCAGAATGCTATATTCTGTGATAGACATGCTATCCTGTAGTGATGCTGGATGTCTATAAAGCATGGAATACCAAAGCCTCCAGAGAATTAAAGCTACAGGGTGCATAAAGGACTATTAAGAGATGCTTAATGGGTATGAGTAGGCTACAGCATATCGCCAATGTACAATCATGCAGGATAAGTAACATAAAATAGTGGAGAAAAAGAGGAGATCATTCAGCTGGTCATGTGTGGAGAGTGAGGCTCAACCAGTGGCTAGCCTGTGTAGCCTGTGTGCTCCACTGGAACGTACACAATGGTTAAGGAAGGCCTGCAGCAGGTTGAATGGATCCATCTGTGGTCCACTTAACACAGAGAAGACAGTCAAGAGCTACAAAGGCTCAGACAGTGTAGATGGGTTGTGACCTGCACCACTGTCCACACTGAAGAGATTACAGATCCTTAGCACAAGTAAGTTGGTGGTGAGGAATCAATGAGTAATTGATTGCATGGCTAGGAGCTTGCAGGTTTTTTTTTAACTACCACTTCATATAGCCTCCTCTTCTGCCACTGGCCAGCTCCCGGGGGTTGGGAGGTGGGATGAGAGGAAAGAAATCAGCGTCACACCTAGAATAATCTCTTGGGATCCCGTAAGACAACTATGTTGGCAGTGCAATGCCCCAGCCCTTGGCCCAAGCTCATACTACAAAGTCCTGCCTTTCAACCTGATCCCTTCTCACTCTTCTTTTTGGAAAATATATTATCCCAGCTAATTAATACCAATTACCTTTTCAATTCAATTTAACAAATGTTTATTGAGTGCCTGATATGTGCAGGATCCTGTGCAAGGGATGTAAGGATGGGAATCAAAACAGGCCCTGCCCGGAAGGACACTTTAACTGAGGACAGGACTACAGTTTGTATGGGAAAAAAAGCACAATTCAAGGTAATATGTGACAAGAAAAAAAAAAAACTAAGGAGTCAAAACGAAGTACCACAAGAAATAGGAGGGAGGGGTGGCTTTCAGGATTGCAGGGAATGAATACCTGTTGGAATGAATGCATGGAAGAAGGAAAAGATAGAATGAGGGCAGGGAATATGGAGGATGCCAGTTTGACTAGAACATCAATCACATGAGAGGAAGTAGTATGAGATCAGGATGGAGTGGTAGGTTGGAGCCAGACTGTGGAAAGGCCTTAAATGCCAGCCATATATTTTATTACATAGGCAATAAGGAGCCCTTATGGGATTTTGAGCAAGAGAGTGACACAGCCAGAACTGTATATTTAGGAAGATTATTTTGACTGCTCTGTGAAGGAAGGTATTGGGGAAGGGGGAGACCAAGAGGCAAGAAGAACAGATCTAAGGAAAAGCTAAGGAGGGGAAAAGATAAAGATGACTGGGTCCTGCCCTCAGTGTAGCTTACAATTTACTGAGGTAGCTCAGACAAGTTCCAAATAATTATTACACAAAAAAGTCCTAACAAAATACTTTGCAATTCAAGGAACTATTAATCTGTATCACTAGTTTCCACCCCTATAGACCATAGGCCCATAGAAAGATCTGGAAGTGAAATCCTAACAGGAATTGTTAAAAAAATAAAAAATAAAAACATCTGCCCAGAGGTATAAAATAGAGACTGCTAAATTGCTGCTCACTGGACTGTCACACAAACAAGACAATGATAAAAAATAATAATAATAAAAATAAAACTCTCAAAACAATAACCAAAAAAAACCCCATGCTTTGTATTGTGTAAGCAAGATTAAAAATTCACATCTTGGGGGGAGACTGACTGGACTACGAAACATCTTGATGCTTCCCAGAATCAGAACAGATTGCAAGAGTATTTGGATCCGAGGAAGGGGATGTGAGTGCTAGGGCGGGGTGGGGAGAGTAAGGAGAGGGAGCAAAACACCAAGAGAGGAGCGAAAGGTCTTGAGTGAAAGGTCTGGTTGGCAGGACAGATTAAAGGGGGTGGGGAGATGGAGGGAGGAATCAGAGATGAGAGAGATAAATAAGCTCGTAAACAACAGATGAAAACAACCTCTTTTGCTGGCTTAGAATGGAAGATGCTTCAAATGCACTGAGGCTGAGATCCTGAAGGGCCTTCACAGACTCATTCTCTGGGAATTCTTGCTCTCCCCAGAGTTCCAGACAGCCCCGGTTTTATAGAGGAGGTGTCCAGAGGGACAGGAAGCAGGATTGGAATAAGAAGGCTGGACTTTCTAGGACTGCAGCCGACTCTGTCCTTTGTAAGAAAAATCTGGCAGCAACCCTCCCCTCCTCCCCCATTGGCAGAAGCTATTATTCCACTGGGAGAAAGGAAACCACAGGGTTTTTCAATGCCCCCTTCTGCACACCCAGGAGGCAACAGCAAGAGGGTTATATCAGAATGTCTTTCCAGACTACAGTGTTGGCCAGACCAGCCAATCAGGCAAGGTGGGTTGGGTTTTACTACATTTGTTAATAAGTGCTTATATTTTTCAAAGTCAATTCAAAAAGGGAAACAACAGAGTGTAATGGAAAGTAGCCTTGGAGTCAGACTAGCTGGGTTCAAATTCTGCTTCTGCTACTTACTAGCTGCGTGATCTAGGCAAGTCCCAATTTCTCTGATCCTCAGTTTTCTGAGGTAAATAGGGGTAATATTTGGATTGTCTACTTCATAGGGTTGTTTTGAGGAATGCACTTTGTAAACCTCCATGCACTATGGAAATATGAATTTATTAATATTAGTTCACAGAAGGAACTCAGCCTGGTCCTACATGACCTCCAGCTTCCCAATGCACCATGATGCATTAGAGAGAATGCTGGGCTACCAAAACTCTGGGTTTTCTGCCACTCACTTGTGTGACCTTGGGCAAGGTACTTTTCTTTTTTAATCAGTTTTTAAATTTGTTTCTTCCTTTGTAAAGTAAGAATAATAATACTTGCCCTGACCCTCTTTCAAGGCTGTTGTGGGACTCAGATGAAATAATGTATTTAAAAACACCGTACACACCAAAAGTGGTAGTATTATTAACAAGGGTTTAAAAGTTATATGTATTGAATTGGTAGGGAAAACCAGACATCAGGACAAGGCAGTATGGAGTCAAATATTAAATGGTGTAATACAAGTTCTAAGAGTTTATAGAGACAGAGCAAGACAAAAGGAAGCAACCTAATGGAAAGAGCGCTGGAGTTTCCAATCCTGCCTATCACTGCATGACCTTGGGCTAGTCACTTAATCAGTGAGTCTCAGTTTTCTCATCTGTAAAATAAGGGAATTGTACTAGATGACTTTTAAAGTTCCTTCCAGCCCTAAATCTGATTCTGTGATCTGGTGAATTCTAGCTGATTAGACCAAGGAGAAAACCCATAATGAGGCATATCTTCAGACATCTACATCTACACTGGCCAATTTCACCCCAAATTTTCCTCATTCATCTCCTTGTATGGGTCCAACACGATCTAAAGAAAATCTGATTCAGCCCATAAGCATTTATAAAACGCCTACTGTGTATATATGCTAGGCATTGTGCCAAGTGTTGGGGATACAAAGAGAGTCAAAAGACAATCCCTGCCATCAAGGAGCTTACAATCTAATGGGGGAGACAATAAGCAAACAAATATATGCCAAGAAACTATATACAATAAAGGATAAATAGGAAATAATTAACAAAGGGAAGGCACTAGAATTAAGAGGG